GCTGAGTCTTGTCCCGTGGAGGTGGCAAAATAATTTTGGAAATTGCTGCACTCATTTTGCAGTTTCATTGGAGACAACTGGGAGACTTCCTGTGCTTTAATGTGATTCACATCCTGTTGTCTTTACGTAGGCTGACTGAAACTATAACATGGGGGACAGTGGAGGATATGTCATCACCCTTTTCATAATTCCTGTTTATAATGATCACTGCTGTTGTTATCAGGTCTGTCATTACTCTGTAAAACATTTTCAGTTTTAGAGGCCATAAAGCTATTTCATGTTTACAGTTTGTAGTGATAATTGTCAGTTTCAGAATCTGCAGACAGAGGGATTCGTTTTTATTGTAGTGCTGGTACGGTGGGTGAAATAATAACTTTAATTTAAAAGATGAAGTTTTGATGATATTTTATATGTAAAATATCAGATGAATCGTGTAGTTATTCCTGTAATAAAAATGAAAACACTCAAGATTTATTATAAAACAGAAACAAAACTGGGGTGCTGCTTCTCCACTTCCCACATTAAACCAAACTGTTTTGGCAGAAGATAATAATTCAATAGTAATTAAATAATACAATATGACATTTAACCATACAAAAACTGGCACATAGCAGCTCACCTGTATCATATATTCAGTGTCAAAGCCCAGTGCTCCCATGCCTTAATAAAGATACTGTTACTATGCCACAAGTATAAATGTACACTTCTGTCTGACACACTGGTACAATCACATTAACACCATTTGACAAACATTTCACTGTGACATGTATGGCTTCAACAGAGAGAAGTCTAAAATCATGTCTCTGCTTCATCGTGGTGAAGAGTGACCTGATTGTAAAAGCGACTCTCAATTTACTGGTGGATCTACGTCCCCACCCTCACCTCTGGTCACGAGCTTTGGCTGGTGACCGAAAGAATGAGATTGTGGATGCAAGCAGCGGATATGAGCTCACTCTGAAGGGCGGCTGGCCTCTCCCTTAGCGATAGGGTGAAGAGGTCAGCCATCAGGATGGGTGGCTGGCTCCTTCACATTGAAAGCAGCCAGTTGTTGAGGTGATTCGGGCTTCTGACAAGGATGCCTACTGGGCACCTCCTGGGTCAGGTGGTCTGGGCATGTCCCACCAGGAGGAGGACACGCTGTAGAGATTATATCTCTCGACTGGCGTGGAAACACCTTGATGTTACCTGGGCAAGCTATAGGCGGCTATTAAAAAACATGCTATAAAAAACGATACGTAAATCGCTCCGTGTGCTCTGCTGAAATAAGAATCTGCCTCCTTGTTACCTGCTTTGACCTGTTTGTGACAATCATGTTGTGTTATGCCATCATCACACTGTTATCCACTGGACTTTTTTTGATTTTAGGCCAACTCATTACCACAGTGAGTAGTACCACAGGGTCAGGGGTGGAGGGGCGATTTTTGAATGTATACTGGTAAAAAACACATTTGTTGGGATGTTAGAGACTGGAACTCTCTACTGTGCAGTTTTTGTTGTTTGCTTTTCTAAAGTTGTGATCATGTAGTGTTAAAGTTTCATTAATGTTTGCTGGTTTTATTGTAAGTTGATGACATGAGAGTGGATATTAAATAGCATTAAATGAATAAAAATAAATGAACTGTTTTGTCTTTCATGTTATATTCCTTTAAGACAACAAACAAACATATTTTAAGAGACTGTGATAGTAACAATTTTTGCAAAAACATGAGAGCTAACCGATATGGACAACAAATACAAGTCTTGTGCACATTACACCAACAGGAGCTGTTCAGCTACGGAAATACCACAAAGCTCCAGGTGCAGTTTTTTACTGATGGTGTTTGCTGATGATAATGAGAGAAGAGGTGTGGAAGTCTGCAGTCACTGAGTCAGTAATGTTAGTCGCTGTTATGCGCTTGCCTCAGCAAACTTCATGTGACCCTGGTGCGAGATGTACATTAAATGAAACGATGGTGATCATGCACGTTTTATCTTTAACTTAATATGCTTTTAGTCATAGACCAATAACCCTTGAACCTGTACGTGTAAAAGGAAACATTCTTGTAAACCACAGAAAACATCAGAGGAAGTGGTTTGATACTGAAGGGTGGTGGCTAATTTTGTGTGTTTGAGATAAATTACTACATGCAAAGAGATTTTGAACTCTAATGAGACTACCTACTGTAATGAGATATATAAATAAAGTATATACATACTGTGTAGTATAAACCACAGGAATAGTGAACTGACTAAAGGGATAGATTCCGTAACATAAAAAGGGCAGATTTTTAGAGTAGAATACAAAAGAGTAGAATATGAGTAGAGTATAAATTATCTCAAAAAAGAGGTATTAAAAAAACTCTTGTCTTAGCCCCAGCGGGTCTGTGATATGAAGGGAAACTAAGCAGGTTTTTATTTTTGTACAAAATTATCTCTGAGATTACAGTTAGCTGAAGCTGTTGATGCAAGCTATCATTTCCCAATAAGCAAAACCAGCTACTCTTTTAGTTTAGTTAAAAACAGCTTTTAAAACTAGAGGTCTTAAATCTGCAAACCTGGATCACTAAAAAGGTCCAAACCTGCAGTTTCCCTCTCTCTTTTTAAATCAAATGTGCAATCTAATGATCCCAGGAGTGACATTTTACAAAACATTAAGTGTCTGAATCATCCCAACACTGAAGTCTTGTTTTGGTCATGAAAAAATATTCAATTTAGTTACATTTTTTGTAAATGCACTTTAAATTGTAATGCACACATAATAAGACACTGGAACTGATTTTAATGTATCTTTAAATAGCTCATTAGTTGTTTCCAGAACATAATTGTACTTTTTTAGACACTGAAAGGATTTGCCAGTAATGGACAAAATCTTAAATATGTGAAATGCTTCAGATTTTTCATGCTGCCCATAAAAACATGTAAAAAGTATCTAAAGTATGAAAAAGAAAGTCGATATAATAAATGCTACTGCCACAACTGTTGGACATGACTGCCACGCTGTCACAGCTTTCCAGTTCAACCAGGGAAATTTTCACCAACTCATTCACCCTGACACACACAGCATTTATTTCCTGTTTACTGGCAATCAAAAGAAGTAAGTTACACAGAGGGAGGAGCTGTGTTTAAGGAAAAAAATTAAAAAGGACAGACAGGAAGGTGGGGCAAGAAAGTTTAAAATCACATACGGGTGAAATTCAAGAAACAACCCTGGAGAGTCTCAGACAAACCAGTGAAAGCAAACAAGCCGAGGATACATCAGACTCTTAAAGAAGCATCAGCACGCAGCACGGTGATGTTACTGCTACTACTCATCTACTCACTGGCAGGTAAAAAGATAACTAACACTTGTTAATACAACAGACTACTGAATGTTACATTACAATACATATGCTGCAGGTGATTATGTGTTTTGGAATGGTTTAAGCTTTTTATTTTTATTTTTATTTTTTTTCAATTTCTTACTTTTTAAGTCTGTTCATATATTTTAAAAATGGCAAAAAGGCTTTTACAACTCAAGCAAACAATCACATTTTAATCATATATAATATATAAATAGAAAAACTAAAATTGTGCTCATGCACTTTAATAAAATATACCATCTTAAAAATATTAACATTAATTATGTGCACCATTTTTTTTCTTTTACATAACACATTTTCACCTTGTTTATTAAAGCTTTTAGGAAGTAAAACGTCTGATTGGATAATCTCGGGTCGTACCATCTGAACATAGCACCCTGAGTCTATCGCTACAACAAACACTGAATTTAAATAGTTACATGGATGAGACATCATGAACCAGGCAACAAATCAAAAACAGGTCTTAGTGTACAAATATCTTTGTGGTATAAGAAGTGCTAAATATTGTATTTCTCTCATACATTTCAAGAACAAACATACATGAAATTAATGTTGACTTTGACTACGTGGCTGCAGCTCCAGATTCTTACAAAGAGATTTTCTTTCATTTTCAGGTTGTGAATCTGAAGTGAGAGCATGTCACCATCACTGGGCTGAAATCACCTGCAAATATCCTGAAACAAATAACACATATCAGTACATTGATGTAGTTCTTTCCAATGAAACATCTGTACAAACCTCTAAGAAGGACGTGTGGGAAGAAAATGGCAGATTTTTCCTCTACCATGATACAAAAAATAAAAATCTCAAGGTTACAATAAAACATGTTAAAGAGCAAGAGTTTAGGAAGTACAGGTGCAAGTTTTTCCAAAGATCGAACTCACCTCACATACAGGAAGGAAAACTGGAGAATGGTAAGAAATATCATCATCATCACCATCATCCTTGTGTCAGACACCAGACGAGGCACACACAGGAAATCAGAATATTTGATTAAAAAATCGATACAGAACAAAAGAGGAGTTTCGGAAACACTGGGAACTTTTTTTCTGGCTCATGAGCAGTCCGGAGCTGCAGTACGAACTTTTCTAAAACATTTCCACAGTTAGTGAGTCCCCATCTATTCAAAGTAATGGAGCCAAGGACATTTCAAAAAGTCACCTGAACATAAAAGAAACTTGACAAGTCCTTAAAATAAACTGCTTTATTTCTCTGATTTGTTTACAGAGCATATAAACTGCCCACGAACATATCTCAGCGTGTACAGAACAGCGAACAGCACCATCACATGTGATTATCCAGATGTTTACGAGTCCCACATAAAGTTCTTCTGTAAAAAGAACCGTTTTACCTGTGAGGACATTTTATCAACGTCAAAAGGGACGTTTACTCTCACAGGCAGCAGCCGTGCCTTTAACATTTCCATCAGTCATGTGACCTCACAGGATGCTGGTGATTACTGGTGTGGAGTGGAATCAAATGATGGAAGTTACAGATTATCACACACACAAATACACCTGAAAGTTATAGGTGAGTATTCCACATGTTCAGTATCACAGGTTTAAATGATAAAAGCTGGCTGATAAGCTGAAGGCAAATATTTGTCTTTTTGTCTTCAGACATTCAACCTTTGACATCAACTATTGGGCAGAACTTCACATACCAGTGTAAGTACAACCAGGATGCTTCCTCATGTATAAAATTCATCTGCAAAGGAGAAGATTCAACTGTATGCAAACAGCTAGTAACCAGCACAGAGCCTGACGTGAACCAGAGGTTTATAATGAAAGAGAACAGCGGGAGTATCACCATTACAGTGAGAGAAGTAACAGCAAACGATAGTGGGATATACTGGTGTGGAGCAAGAGTCCCTCACAAACACAATCAAACACATGACGACTTCTTTGATGGATTTAATTTGACTCTAGGTAAGTTGTGCTGTTTGTTGTGTGGGTGACTGTCAAGATCAACCTATCAAAGAAAATATATGTCACTTTTTAAGACATTTGCTCGTAGTCAGTCAGAAATCAAAAGGAAATGTGAGGTAACACAGACTGTTTTCTCCTGGACTATAAGTGGAATATTTGGGCTATGCTACAATCATAATTAACAGCAATAGCAGTGTAATATTTTGTGATATAACAACATCACGTCTTTAGTTTCCCTAGTGCACGTAAGAATGGATGGAAATTAAGAAAGGCTTTAAGGTACTGGTTAAAAAACTTGACCCAGGATACAACATCATAAATAAAAGTTTCTTTAAAATTTTACTGTGTGACAGTCCTGTGCAGGCTTAACCTGTAGAGTTACAAGGTTTAGTAACAAAATACCAGCATTTTAAATGTTATACTTAAGCTAGGACACTTTTGTCTTTGCATTTGTCTTATGTTGCATCACCACATAAGTCCTCCTTTCCCAATATTGTGTCATCAGTGATAGCAAATCCTTGGGAAAAGTGAAAAATGCCCTAATTATATTTGCCCTAATATGCAGCCTGCAAGCTGCAAGCAGATGATGAAATTTTCCCTTTTCTCTAACATATCATCAGAAATATCCCAAATTTCCTTAAAATATGACATCATTTTAAAAGGTTGATCTCCCACCCCTACTAACTTATACTTAAAAGTGCAGTCAAGACCTTTAGTTAATTATTTAACATCAATATTATCGATAATGATCTACACCAGAAACTGTGTATTAAAAACATACATTGGTTTCTAGACTTTTGAAGTCTGACTGATAAGGTTTTGGGTGCCACCATGTTGTGTGTTCCATACACTGTAACAACGAAACACACAGAAACACATCTGCTAATTAGACTGCTAATGCTAGCATTCTATTACCTGCATGGCGTGCACCACATAGCAGGCTGTACAAATCTGTTCAGTCACGCACACCTCAAATGCTACTGAAAGGTCTGGATCAGAACTAGTGAAAGTCAGGTCAAGGGATTAATTAATAGGTGCATTATTTGCATCGGTTACAAAGTCTGCAAAAGTATATTCTGCAAAAGCACTTGACAAAGTTCACTGTATGAATGTAATAACCTCTGAGGCTGTTGCTGTTTATGCTTCAGTCTTCCTGCACCACCTTCACCACCTGCAGAGGTGTGACATGAATATTTACAGGTTTATCTTGATGAACATTCATTTTCCTATATATATTTAATATGAAGGGGAAATCTCAGAACACAATACTTTTTAGAAAAACTTTTCCCCCACAGTGCAGTCTTCTTGATATTCAAGGAAAACATATAACACATTCAGAGCGTCAGTGTTTTCACCTGGGAGGGCACTAGTCTAGCTTTTAGTTTATTACAACAAGTCCTAGAGTCCATCAGCCTTAAACATCTTTACTTAGCACAGTTTAATCTGCACGATATCTGAAACTCTCTGTAACTTGCTTTACTGCAACAGAAGAATTTAGTTTAGAGATGTTATTATAATGTCTAATGTCTGTACTGCTGAACCTTTGACGATATGTTGCTGTGCAGGATGTGAAAAATGATTTCAAAATATTTCTGTCTCAAAACAAACAAAAAACCCAAACAGATTCTTTCGTTTGAGCTTTTTTTTAAAGGAATAAGACTTAATATTCAAAATTGTGTGTTTTGTGTATTAACATCAGTTGTTTCAGTTATATAAGACATACGACTTTCTGAACACTCTCCTTTTCTTCAAGGTCTGAAACAAGAAAGTATTCTCCATCCACATGAGAATAAGAATTTTGGTGAGAGTGTACATTTTCTATCTCGCAGAAAACAAACAGACATTTTCACGACGTCCTCGGACAGTGTTGTGTGATGATTGCATGTGAATCAGTTTCCAGTCATCCTGACTCTTTTTGTTTTTTCTGAGGCAGTCGTCGTGTTGATCTTCTGTATAGCTTTTCTGCTGCTGATGGTTGTGATAGTTTTGATCCTTATTTACAAACGTAAGTTCATTTATCACTTACCTTCATTTTTACACCTATATCTAATCATACATCTGGCAGAAAGTTGCTGTGAGCAGGAGGACAGACAGGTGAGATTTCCAGATCTAAGATGTCAGGACGGAGTGAGCAGCAGAAGGCGGTGGTTAGTTTTTAGAAGGTAAAAAGTTGGCGAGAAGGACCAGCGACAGAGGAGGCCGACCAGCGCTATAGTGGTACTAACAATCTGGCGGAAAGTGAAGGTATCAGCCGGTCCTTAAATACTGACAGGTTATTACTAGAGATGAGCCGTAGTTGAGGGAAGTTGGATGTGAGAATCGGAGCTTCCGGAGTGCATTGTGGAAAAATATGCCAAACAGCAACACACACACTGGATCCTGACAGATGTCAAATGAAGAGCTAGTTAAGTCTCAGTTCAGTGACGTGTCAAAATGAGTCTACGTTGTTCTGTTTCTTTTCGATTTCTCAGGCCTTTCACCTTCAAAGGATACAGGAAGTGAAGCAACACCACAGTATATCAAAGAGGTGAGTTAATGGTGCTCTATGTGTGACTGTGGCAGTGTGCTATGATCCATGCAGTCACTGGGAGGTTTCTGATGCAGTACCATATACTTGGCTGCCAGCAACCACATGCCAACCAATCAGTCAATGCATATTTTTTTCCTAAAGACCTGTGGTTGCCAGGGGGGTCACTGACACCTCTCTAGTCCACTGTGTCCAGGGAATAAGCAGTTTCCTGGCAACTGCCAGCACCAACAGCAACCAGTCAGAGAATACACATGAAAGTAGAGTCACTGCCACATCATCACTCGCCAGTCTCTAGACCTGTGCGGCCGAGGCCTGAGCTTACAGTACCTGCTAACACTGACTGATTGAAAGCTCTCCCAAGTAAAAAAATAGTGAACTGATTTAATGGATGCATGATTAAAAATCCCCGGTTTAGCTTTTTTGGCCATTTTCATATCATTTTATTTGCCAGCGTTCTGAACTAAGCATTGCTTAACAGTTTTAGCAACACCAATTTGAATTTCAAGATGTACAGATAATGATTGATGGTAAACCTCATCAGATCAAATATAAACAGTTCAAACTGTAATTTCTTCTCCTCTTTCTGGCAAGGACAATATCTATGAAGAAATAGAGGAGCATTTCCAGAGTCCAGGCTCAGAATGTGCCACAAACACAGTTTATCTCACCGTCGATCATCCTACAAACCATCCTGCCTCACTCCATTACTCCACCATCAACTTTCCGATCAGCTCTGACATAGCTGCTGCTGAGACACTGATCCTCACACCCAGCTCATCGGCCTGCAAATATTCAACTGTGAAGCACAGCACGAGTCTGACTACGTCGACTGCCACACACCCACCCAGACCTCCACAGGAGCCTCTCTACTCAAAAGTCAACAAGTTGAAGCCAAAACAGAAATAAGGTCTGTGAAGAAATATGAAATACTGATTTATGTCAAATCGTGTATAGTAATTAAAAAAAAACAAAGAGGTGCAAAACAAGTGTATCAAAATGTTGGCAACATGCTCCCAAACTGAAAAGGAAGTGCGCTGACGTAGAGCTTGACATGTTTTGAAACCAGTCTGATAAGATGAAACTTGCGGTGTTCTGTTGCGTAGATAAATTCTGTCTACATTTCCTTCCTTGAGGTGTTTTTGGTTACAAAATATGAATTTGCTTGCATGCGTTTCTTGTTTGTCCTTGTGCTTTCATGAATGCTGGTCTAGTGATAGGATTCACACAATACTGTAATATTTTTATGGTCACAGTTCCCACATTTCTTAGTGGAATCTTGTGATATTTAGAAATGATAAAAATAGTTAAATCCAAGATTTGGAAGGAAATCTATTTTCAAATCAAACTGGAAATGTCTTTATTCGCTTGGCGTGGTTATGTTTAACTTAAAAGACTCCATATTCAGCAAAAAAGCCTTGATCATGTTCATGTTGCAGTAAGTCAGAGTAAGCCTTTACCTCAAACTGAATTAAATAAAAATTACAGAAAAGTTTATTTAAATACACATAGCAGTATCATTTTTAATAAAATGACATCAGGATGCTGAGCCTCCACTGGTTTAAATCTGCACTCTCCATCATTCTCCCTTTTAGACTCTCACTGATGCGATCCACCCCTGTCAACCTCAAACCCACCTCAGCTGGAGCCATCCAAACCTCAGTCTACATCCTCACCACCACCACCTGGACTCTGGTGGATCCTGTCCTAAAACTGCTGGGATTGTGTTCTGCCATGATGAGCTGCTGGAGTCTGACTGCCAAATACAATCATTTCTCTATGTCAGTAAATCATGTTCTTTTAAGTGAGCTCTCCTTATTGAAACACTTTTGAGACACATCCCTGGTATCCTTTTAACAACCCCACAGACTGCAGTGATGGGAATAACGCCGTTACTTTTTCAAGCAGCTGCGTGCGCTCCCGCGGACGGTAATCACGATTACTGTCTAGCACAACACCTGGAGCATGAGTGCTGCTGTTTGACTGAGGAAGAATAAAGTAGTCGTGGTAAGCCA